TCTTCTTAATATCCAAGCAAGAGGATTCCGCAATCCTTGCCTCAAGAACAACAAGTATACTAAAAAAACTAAACTAAAAAAGGATAGAAAAAAAAGTGGAGAGACTACAAAACCTAAACGAAAACCAAATAACAAAAAAAAAATAAAATGATAAAAAAAAAAAAAGGACAAAAAGAAAAAAGCAACAACACGAAAGCACTGGATACCCCAGCACTTTCTAAGATTTTTTTAAAAAATTATTTAATACTCCGTAAAACAATTTCTATCTTCGCTTTACTTCGGTATTATAATATTCTTATTATGTAGGGAATATGAAATTTTTTTTCTTTACCCTAGCGCAGTGTTGTCATGGGACAGCTTTGGACAATTTGTAGACAATTGTGGACAAAAAAACAAATCTAAATTACTCAAAATTTTATTAAAATAACCTATTTTTTTCTTTTCAAAAAAATATTCAAAACTATAAAAAATATATAATCATGTCTTTTTTAAAATGATATATTAAATTTTAAAGCCTAAATATTCTTTGGACAGTTGTGAACATGTGGACATGAACATAGGCAAAAAAGTCTTGAACATAGTAGATGTGACAACACTGCTCTAAGTTACTCTTATGTTCTCACTCTCACTCACTTACTCACTCTTTCTCAACATAATTATTAAATAAAAAAAATTTAACTTTTTTATTTATTCTTTGTCACTAATTAAAAAAAGCAATGCTTTTTATTTTTTTAACATAGATACCCGCTTATATAGGTATTTCTGTTAAAAAAAATAAAAAATATTTCTAAAATAATTAGTAATACCAACAAATATTAGAATATCTATTAGTTATTTACTTAACATTGGGAAAATAAATATGGCACAGATCTGCAAAGATCTGCAACTATAAAATTTGTAATATCTTGTGATCTAGTGCTCTGATAATCATGTTTAAGTGGATTTTACAACCACATCACGATCTTGCTAACCAGTGATTCAAATTTTACAATTTTAGTACTATTTGATTCCTCTTAATAAGACAGTTTGAATAATATCAAAAATATTAAAATCAGATTACTGGGTGTTAAAATATTCACAAAATATATTTGAGTACAGTTCTGCACAAAACTTTAAAAAATAAATTTGATGTTCTGCACAGAACTGTACTGCAAAAAGATTTTATGAATATCTCGATACTCTGTAAAGGAATTTTAACATTTTTAATACTATTCGAACCATTTTATTTAGAGGAATCAAATAGTACCAAATTATTAATTTTAGACTACTAGTTAGTAAAATTGTAAGATAGTTATAAAATCTACTTAAATGTGATTATTTTATACTCAAATAATCAAAATTTAATAAATTTGGTACTATTTGATCTGCTTTGTCAAAATGAATTGAATAGTACTTGTTTGTTAAATTTGAGTATTGGATCATAAGATATTGCAAGTTTTGCTAAAAAATTCTATAGTCACAGATCTTTGCAAATCTGCATCATATTTATTTTCTAATAAATACTTGTTAAAAATCTGATATGTTTCTTTATTAATAATATTATATAGAGATAATTTATTTATTGCCTATGTGGTGTTGTCACATCCTCTGTAGATTATAAAATTAGATTTTGTTAGTTAGGTTAGAGTGAGGTAAGGGTAGTATATAGGTAGTAGAGCTGTGACCTGGGTCAACCATTTTCAATCTGAGTTGATCCTTGTCAATAATCAAATAGGTTAAGCTTGAAAATATATTTTGAAATATAACTATTTTAACTTGAAAAATCTCAGGTTTTGTGTCAAAAAACTTTCGACTTTGCTCATAATTAGAGTTCTTTCATTTTTTACATCAGAAAACCCAGTTATTGCAATCTATCTGTCCATTTAAATGATCTGTTTGACCTGGGTTAACCCAATTTTTGACTTGTGACTTGTCAAAATTCTGACCTATATGAGTCAAGCCAACCTAGTTAACAGTTCTAATAGGTAGGTTAGTGTTAGGATTGGGTAAAAAGTTTTATAGTAAAATTTTGCAAAAAAATTTTTGTTTGAATATAAAGAGTAGTTTTATATTAATTATACAATTTGTTATGTAAATTTTTTTATATATAAAATTATAAAAAATATATATAAAATTACTATAAACTTTGATTCTGTGATGTTTCTTTATCTATAAATTAACTTAAAATTAAATTGTATAACAATATATAATACAATATACCATACAAGCATGAAATAATGCCCACCTGTGTGTTAATTAATTGATCTGCATATTAATTAATTGACCTGCATGTTAATTTAAGTACACACATGTGTGTTATTTTGAAACAAGGGCTGATTTTCAGGACCAGATATTTTATAATAATATATATACATAACTTGCATAGTAAAAACCTGTAAATGAATATTTATAGTAAATTAGTTTAGCTTAGCCCTAAAGAATTATTATGTAAATTATAAATTCTAAAAACAAATACCTAATTTGTATTTAAACCAGCTTTAAAGTTAATATTTAAACTGGCTTTGATGTTAATTATTGAATATCTGTGACAAACAATTGTCTTTTTATGTCTAATATTAAACAAAAAAAATTTTTTTTTGTCTATTGTTAAACAAAGAAAATTTTTTTGCTAATTGTTATCATCAATTTTTTTATGATGCTAATATTTATATAAATAAATACTTTTAATGAAATAGTTATCTTAATGATTTTTTTTAAAATAAAAGTTTTTTTTTTTTACACATTTTTTAATAACCTTACAAAAGCAACATGTGTATAAAATGCTATTACTTTCCCATAGATATTAAAAAAAAAATTAATCTTAGTAGAACTTCAGTTCTGAGACATTATAGTCTAATGGCTTGTTGATTAATTTTTGAAATCTTTAAAGTTGCACAAGTATAAAACTCTGGAATATTTTCTTAATAAAATGTCAGGCATGAAGAATTGACTGGACACTGGCTCTGGGCCATTATAACCCTAATGGCCGTTGGCCGATTGATTTTTTTTTTTTTATATTATAAAATTATCAGCATTACTCCTGATTTGTTTTGAATAAAGTATTTTTTTTTATTTATTCACATCTAATTTACTTTCAATAAACATGAACTCTTCTAAGCGAAGTTATACTATTTTATTTAAACTCGATGTTATTTTATATACAGAAACTACTTCTAACTATCAAGCTTCAATATTCTATAAAGTTGATCGAAAACACATCCAAGAGTGAAGAAAACAAAAAAAGGAACTTGAAGCAGTTAAAGTAAATCAAAGTCTAAATATCAACTAAATATGTATTTTTAGTGGTCATGGTAGAAAAGCCAAGTATTCTAAAATGGAGAAAGAATTATTAGCTTATGTTCAACAAAAATGGAAAGAAATAAATGCAGTTACTAGTTCTATGATTAGGCGCAAAGCCAAAGAGTTAGGAAAAGCCTTAAATATTGAAAATAGCAAGTTCTCTCGTGGTTGGGTTGACATTTTAAGAAATAAATAAATTGGTAGAACATGTTAGAACACAATTCATGCAGAAACTTCCAGAGGATATGCCTCTGATTGTCAGAAATTTTCTTCAAATTGCTCGTGAAAAAACAGCAAATATTGAAAAAAAATTTATCCTTTTCATTGATGAAACACCGATATGGTTTGATATGCCCCACAATACAATACTTGATTTCGAAGGTGTTCGCAATATACCAATTAAAACTACGAGAAATGATAAATTACATTTCACAGTAGTATTAGGCTATATAGCATCTGGAGAAAAACTTTCACCTACTGTAATTTTTAAATTAAAAAAAAAGCCAAAGAGTAAATTTCCTTGAGACATAGTTATTGCAACTGCACCTTGTGCAAACATGATAGGAGAGTTAATAATTTCTACTTATATTCTATGTGTTATTCGGGCAAGACTTAATAGATTTTTTAAAAATAAGGGTGTGATATTTGTTAATCATCATAGTAGTCATATTCATGATGATGTAATTAAAGTATTAAATACAAAAGGCTTAGATATTGTTAAATTCTCTGGTGGAACCACTTTTGTTTTGCAACCACCTGATGTTTCAGTAAACAAGCCTTTCAAGGCTGGAATGACAAGAAGATGGGAAAAATAGATAGACGAAGAGAAAGATGAACTTACTGCAAGAGAAAACCACAATAAAGCCTCATACGAATTGGTTTCTGAGTGGGTATCCCAAACTTGGAAAGAAATTGGCACAAATATATTAACCAGATCTTTTGAAGTGGCTAGACTTACACTTAACCTTGATGATAGCGAAGATGACAAGATGTCAAGTTACTTTCAAGCTATTATCGCAAATTGTAAAGACAAAGTAACTTTTGATGAAGAAGATCAGAATAATGAATTCTTGAATGAAGAAGATCAAAACAATAAATCCCCGAATAAAGAAGATTCAAATGGTAAATCAGATTCTGATAGTGAATCGAATCCTGAAGATGAACTTTATGAGAATATAGCAGATTATGATTTCGATGCTATGATGGATATTGATATTGATATTGAAAATATAATGGAAATTGATAACTAAGAAGGTAAAAAGAAAATCAATTCAAAATAAAAAGTATGTGCTGTTAAGAAAAAATGACACTTCAGACCTTTAATTATATTTTTTATAATATATTTTCTAATAAATCAGATTATATACAATACAAATTATAATTGAGGTCTGAAGTGCCATTTTCTCTTGGCAGTAATTATATAAATATCAATTAATTTCTAATTTAAAAACTATTAATTTTTGATAGCCCAATATAGAGCTGCTACCATAATTTGTTGAAGCATATTTGCATTATTTAGCAATCAAAATTGAAGCTAAAATGATATAAATGAGACGTTATTTGTAATTTTTTTTTAATTTTCTTTTTTTCTTTTAGTTTTTAGTTATTATTATTTTTTTTTTATTTCTCAGGAATACTTTCAATTTACTTTTTAAATTTTAGGTTTTTTATGTAGCTTTTCTTAATTTTTTTTAAATTTTATTGTTTTGATGATTATTAAATGAAGAATTGGATAGTATTCATATATAAATAAAGTCAGAGTGGAAATTTTTTAATGCTATTACTGTATATCGCACTTATCAATTGCAAGTTATATCAGGTGTACATTAATTCAGGATGGCCATAGGTGCTAATTTGAAACCCTATATGCTATTTAGAGGTATCTGATTTTTGAATTAATGCCTCTGGGCATTATTTCGTGCTTTTACAGTAATGAAAAAAGTTAGCTTAAAAATCAAATTAAAATTTTGTAACTTTGTAGATTATAATATATAACTCTATTAAAATTAAATATTTACTATAAAATTTTATTATGAACTAAGTTTTCTAAATAACAAAATAAATTGTATTAATAAAAAATAAGTTATATATACTAATGTTAAAAATTACATATTTTTTATATAAATATTTTTTTTACTTAAATAATCTATTTTTTGCATTTAAATAAAGTTGTTCAGATTAAAATTTTGCATCTATATAGTATGCCAATTTTTAATATTTTACTAAACAAAAAATTAGATTAAAATTTTAGCAAAAAAATTTTTTTGACAAAAACTTTGATTTAATTTTTCACTTAGTAAAATGTTAAAAATATAAAAAAAATGATACACTGTATAGATGCAAAATTTTATTTTGAACAACTTTACTTAAATGCAAAAAATAGATTATTTAAGTAAAAAAAAGTTTTATATAAAAAATATGTAATTTTTAATATTAGTATATATATAACTTGTTTTTTTATAATACAACTTATTACTTAGAAAAACTTTATTTAGCATAAAATTTTACATATAATTTTTTTTTAAAATTTGTACAGTACTAGACAGCAAAAACTATATATATAAATATAAAAATGCTTATAACTTTTGAACAAATAATTTTTAAAAAAATCTGTCTTACAGATTTGTTGCTTTTAGTCTAAGCTACAATTTTATAAGACAGATTTTTATTTTTATTATAAATTTAAAAAGTTTTTAGAGTTTAAAATTTATAAATTTACATATAAAAACCAAAATTTGATGCTTATTATATAAAAAAAATCAATTTTATATTTTTTAACCAATCAAATTTTGTTACACAAAAATTAGCCAATCAGAATTATTATAAATTCTCAAATTTGGTGCTTCTTTTTAAAAAAATAGATGGTTTTTGCTGTCTGATACTGTAAATATTTAGTTTTAATAGAGTTGCATATTTAAAACCTGCAAAAATTATGAAATTTTAATTCAATTTTTAAGCTAACTTTTTTGTTAGTTTATATTATATATTGGTACACAATTTAATTTTAAATTAATATGTAGGTGAAATATATAGATACTAGTGAAATATAGTGAAATGTGGTAAAATAATTTCACTACTATTGGTGAAATTTGGTGGTGAATTGGTGAAATTGATGAAATTAATTTCACTAGCATCTATAGTGAAATAACATTATAGAATCAAAGTTTATAGTAATTTTATATGTTTTTTTTTATAATTTTATATATATAAAAATTTACAAGCAAAATAGTGTGACAAATCAAATAACTGATATACAGTTATAAATAATTTTTGACAAAGCAAATATTTGGTTTGAATTTTTCTAATTGTACTATTACATCTGATTTTAAAATTTGATTAGTCAATCATATGAATTAATGCCACTGCAGGGTGCAGTAAATAAATATACTATATTATATATAGGAAGTTGTTATTGCTATTTCCCAATTTGTTAGTGCCACCCCACATAATATATAGATTATATAGGGTTGAGTCAATAGAAACCAAGCAAATATTTTTTAATAGGTATTTTAAGAACTTTAAACATTGATAAATTAATGAAAACTTAATCAAATTAAGTAAATTTTTTTTAAAATTTATTCTACAAATTTGTAAAAATTATTTAAAAAAATTTTTATTAAATTTGTCAAGGTTTTATTAAGTTATTCCTGTTTAAAGTTATAAAAAATTTAAAAATAAAAAGTTTAAAAAGTTTGAATGAAGATATATCGACAACTACCTGCTTAAATCTGATAAAACCGTTCAGATTTGAATTCTATGGATTCATAGAATTCAAATAAAAATTTTTATCAAATTTAACCATGTGGTTGTCAAGATAACTTCACTCAAAATTAGTAACAAATTAAAACACCTATCAAAATAGAAGCTGTGCCAAATTTCTCTCTAAATTTGAGTGAATATATCTCGATAACTATCTGACCAAATTTGATAAAACTTTTTTTATTTGAATCCTATAAATTCATAGAATTCAAATAAAAGAATTTTCATTGAATTTAGTCAAGTGATTATCAAGGTATCTTTGCTTGAAATTAGAGGAAAATAAAATACCTATCAAAATATAAATTTTCTCTCTAACTTAAATGAAGGTATCTTGATAACGGTCTGTCCAAATTCAATAAACCTTTTTTTTCAATTCTATGCATTCACAAATTTAAATAAAAAATTTCATTGTATTTATTCAAGTGGGTGTCGAGATATCTTTGCTCAAAATTAGACAAAAATTTGTCATAGATTCTATTTTGATACACATTTTGATTATTTCTTTGAGCAAAGATATTTTGACAAACACTTGATTAAATGCGATGATTTTTTTTTATTTAATTCTATGAATCCATAGAATTTAAATAAAAAAGTTTCATTGAATTTGGTTAGATAGTTATTGAGATATCTTTGCTCAAAGTAAGAAAGAAAATTTGGCATAGCTTCTATTTTGATAGACAGTTTGATTTTTCTCTAATTTTGAGCAAAAATATCTCGGTAACACCTTGACTAAATTCAATAATAATTTTTTATCTGAATTTCATATACCCATAGAATTCAAACAAAAAACTTTTTATCGAATTTGGTCAGGTGGTTATCGAGATAACTTTGCCCAAAGTTAGAGAAAAATTTGTGAATTCCTACTTTGATAGGCGTTTTGATTTTTATCTAATTTGAGCGAAGATATCTCGACAACCACATGGCTAAATTCGATGAATTTTTTTTATTTGAATTCTATGAATCAATAGAATTCAAATCTAGAAGGTTTTATCAGATTCAAGCAGGTAGTTGTCGATATATCTTCGCTAAAGTTTTTAAAATTTTTATTTTACCAGAATCTGCAACACAGTTTATATATCACGTGGGGTGGCACTAACAAATTAGGAGGTGGCAATAACAACTCCCTATATGTAATGTGTAATAATTAATACATGATAGCGAAATACTAAGCTATTGGTCTTCTTTTACTCTTTTCTCTCTTTTCTTGGTGCTATGGGTTATATTTTGGTAAGTGAAGTGGTATATGAATATTTAAAATGTCATCATGGTGGCAGCCCTGAAATTAGCGAGTCTGTCGCTAGAATGATAGTAGCTCGTGTAACCAAAAATTAGGTTTGGTTGGGTCGAAAAAAGGTGTGTTAGTCTGGCGAGTAGTTAAATAAACGAATGTATATTTAATATATAGGACTTAGGTATTTTATTATTTTGTGTAAAGCGAGAACTAGTTTCTCGCGGAGGGCCAGAAGGTCTTTATTTATAATTGTGAACTAAGTTATTTACATTCGCAGAAATCATCTATATCACTAAAATCACCAATAAACCTCAAATTGGCTTTATAGCCAAGAAGAACACCAGTATTATTAGAATCCACCATATTACTGTAATTATCCTAATTATCCAGATCCAGCCGTTTAGAATTATCTGGGGTTTCTGCAAGATCAGAATATCTAGCCGATCGGGAGATCTAGCTGTAAGCCAGCACGTTGAGGCAAGATCGACCTCTAAATTCTATTTTTATCGATTGGTTCTATTTTGGAGTTAAAAGTGGTACAAATTCCTGAATTCGTGGGATTCGAGGAATGGTGGGAATTACAGTACGAGAATTCATAATAGCGAGAATAGTTGGAATTCTTAGAATTCCTAGAATTCTGTTATATGTAACGATTAATTATATATAGGAGGTAGTTCCTCCAAAATAAAGATAACTCAGTAGAGTTATAACTTCGAAATCATATTAGTAGAAGTTTGTTCCTTAAATGTTATTATTTTCCTTTAGGCGAGACCAATTTGATTTAGTGGTTTACGTTACCCCCCCCCCCCTCACTATATACGCGGAAAATTTCGGAAAATTTTTATAATAACGCGGATCATTTCGGAGAAAAAATTTATAATAAACTCCCTCCAGCCCCCTCCCCCCATCTTTTTTTGTGAGTAGGATGTAACGTAAACCACTGAATTAAATTGGTCTCGCCTTACCCCAAAACGTTCCTAATAAAGCAATTCGATAAATACTTTTTCCTGACACGATATCTCGTTAGAAAATTATAATCGATTGCAAAGTCTAGTTGTAGTTTGAGTTAGAACCTTTGAATTCGAGTAGAAGTGCTCACTCTAAGTTACCGCCTTTTCCTTTAAAGATACTTACACATTGAATTAATAATTACGCTTTAAAATACCCTGATATTAGAATAGAAACTATTATCGCTCATAAAACAAGTCCAGAGAATAAGAGAACCTTATTGCATTATTCGGTTCATATATACCCGCTAAATTCCCGTGATCCATTGTTATCCTCAATTTATCATCGAAATTACCCGTGATCTCGAGACATCATCGGCAAAATCGAAGATCCGATCCCGATATTAATTACCCGTCAGATCAAAATTAGAATCACCGATAGTAATAGCCGTGAAATCGGATTTTTACAGAGCAATCCCAAAATTCCTGGTCGGATTTAGGTCGGCATTTAGCCCTAGTAGTTAGTAGGTTCTATAGCAAAATTATCAGCTGGGCACTTTTCACTTAATAAATAGCCACGATTTCATTGGTAAAATTCTTAGTGATTTCGGGCAAAATCGATCATTGCCGGCCCTTCCGACCAGGATTCTGATGCATTCCGACCTGGAATTTTGGGGATCTTCCTGTATGAGTTGTGAAATCGTGATTACACTACACGTGACTCAGAACCGCAGTATTTCCGAAACGGAAGAATAAGAAGTGTTAGTGATATTATCTTCGATATTATTACATTGGAAAATAAGTCTAAGTAAAAGACTTATCTGCGCACCGGAAATATCAGCATAAGCCCGGAAACAACATTACAAGGCCCGAAGAACCTTAAACCTCGGACCAAGTCTTTCCACGCCTCTCTGAAGCCTTCCACTTTAAGGTTTTAGGTGTCTTTAAGCAAAAGATTGGATCAGTTAGAGTTTAGATTAGTTAGATTAGTTAGTTTTAGTCCAAAATCGTTGGTCACGCCCTTCTCAACGTGCCTGCCATTAGGTTGTGTTTCCGGTTTTACAACGGTTATTAATGTAAGTGTAAAAAATAAATACATTTTCGAATAATTCATTTTACATGTATGACTAATTTTATTTATACATCAAGTATCAATAATGTGTTAATATTCTATTGCTTAAATAATTTATGATTGTAAAGAAGTATTTTAAATATTGAAGTTACATCATGTCATGTTTACGCGATTAAATAATTTAGACGTTTATTTATTTTCTGTACCAGCCAGATAATAATTGTATTACAGTACTTCATGATTCGAATAAGATTATGTCCAATTTTTTTTGTTTTTGATAAGTTGATCTTCCGGGTACGTATTTCCTTGCATTGCTATTCTTTTCTATAGCCGTCTAATTTCTTGGAATCTGTTTTTGTAGTGCTATCAGTATATTCACGTAGTAACCTTTTAAATGCAGAAAATAATTTTTCATTAAGATATACTCCATGATACTTTGCATTTTCTCCTCCGCTGCCAGGTAATCCTCCTTCTCCATTTTTTCCTTTTCTACTATATTTTTTAATAATAGGGTTTTTTGGATTTTTTAGTAAATTATCGAACTTTAAATGTATAGTTCCATGCCTTCCAATATTGCCACCCACTCCTCCTCGCCCACCATTTCCACCTTCTTGTCCTGGGTCATAAGCTACATACGTTTCTTCATATTTGTTATTTAAAAGAAAACGTGAAACGTTTTCCTGTAAAACTAAAGATGATTCACTTCTGCTATCTACCATCTCTTTTACTTTAGAATAGTCATCAACTTGTCCTTTAGCACCATCACCACCGTCTTGCCCTTTACCACCATCACCGCCACTAAGATCTATAGTTAAGGAAGAGGGATTGATAAAATTTCTTCCTTTAGCATAGAAGTGACCCCCCGTTACAACCGGGTAGCCCAGGTAAACCATCCTTTCCATGCATTTCTAAACTTGCCTTTTTGCTATTAATTCTATCACACACATCTTTTCTATTAGTATCTTCATTGATTATTCCTTCTATCTTAATATCGGTAATAATTTCATTACCTGCCTCTTCATTAATTTCGTTTTTTGTATCATTTTCATTAATTATATCGTATGTATCTTGTTTATTGATTATTTTATTGGTTCCATCTTCAGCTTTTCGTGGATTATGTAAAGGACCTGCTTTACCTTTTAAATTAATTGTTCTTTTACCAACAACACGCAATTGAGGAGATATGAATGTCAGAAAGGCTCCTGGTGCTTTTATATCTTTATCAATAAATATCGTATTTAAACTGTACACATTTATTTCCTTATAATCCGTAGTATGAGATATACTTTTAGCAACATCTTCAGTACCAATAATTGTGCCTTCGAAAGTTAATAATTGTCCTTCGCTATTTATTTTAGGTTTAGACGTTAATGACTTTATAGCATTAATAAGTTCAGGTATTAAGTGATACCAGCTACTTGTATTCCCTTGGATAGCAATTGATTCTGTCTTTACGAGTTCAATAAAACTTAATTGAGAAATTTTTTTTTGAAGTTCGTCTTTAAGATCGTCTCTCCGTAAGAGTTGAATAATTGAGAGAACTTGTCTAAGTTTATCTTCAAATTGTTGTGAATTCTCAGTATTGGATATATTTGTATTCACTTTAGCAATAAATTCGTTCAAAGATTTTCTTAATTTTTTAACCGTATCATTATGACTATCTATAAGATTTTCTACGTAATTTAGAAATGCAAAATAAAATTTCTTAGACATAAATTCTTCTACATCTTTATAAAACATATTTATTAGATTTTTGATATAAAGTTCTGCGCTTGGCCCTGGAGAAAAACTAGTTTCAAGGTTTTCAATATAAGAAATTTTCTCTAAACAATCTAAGATTTCAAATTTGTCTGTATCAGGAATTAACCCTTCTTCTCGAGGAGCGTTGAAAAAGGCAATTTGACTTCTATCAGAGGATAAAAAATTGAATAATTCTCTTTGAGATAAACTGAGATTTCCTTGACCACGTCTTTAAGGATTTTACATAATATATTTCTCAATTCTTTCGAATTAAGGTCTTCGTTTTGTGTTACCACTAAGCACAACCCTTTAACTAAATCATTGATATTTTTAAAAATTTTACCCAGATGTTGGATAAGGTTTAAAAGCTTCGTTTTGCTTGTGTCTCTTATTGTAATTTCAGAAACTACAACTAAAGCTTTCAATTTTTTAATACTTTTGGTTAACATATATATCGAATAAGCATTTATAATATCTTGCTCATCGCCGCTTGAATCTCCAAAACCAGGACAATCCCAATATTTTCTTGATTTAATGGTAAAGATGTTTGTGAAATAGAACGATTGTTAATAATTATGTTATTTGAAGAATCACCGATATAATTTTTGGTAATATTTATGTTATTTGAAGAATCCTCAACATAAGTTTTGACGCCATTATAAATTTCAAATCCACCCTCATCAATATTTTCTTTACTAAGCAAGAAATTTCCAACCAAATAGTTGAATAGTGTAGTCTTTCCTTCTCTCGTTTCACCAATAATTATAATCGCACTATCTTGTTGAGAATTTTTTGCGTCTATTTTTTTAATATTTTGTAGAATACGTGGTTCCATTTCTTCAATATTGGGTTGATTAGTCGATGACATTTTTGTAGTAACTGATTATTAAATTTGCTCAATTAGCATCGACTGAAAAATTTAAAGGACAGGACTTTTTTCGAAAAAAAGGTTAAATTACAACAATTATATAACAGTGTAACGTTTTGCGATATATTCGTATAGAAAAAAATATTCTCATTGTGAAAAAGAATAATTTCGAGCGTGAGAAAAAAAATATATCATGTGCGAGAGCCCAAATGTCTACTAATTTAAACCTCATAAACAAAAAGAATCCATAACCCGATAGTGTCAGTTAAGATCAGCTATGTTGTGAATGTGAAAGATAAGGACCCGAAAGAGTTGTGCATATATTGGCTAGAAATAGACACAATACTTAAATTATTTTTAGACTATTATTTAAGTATATACCGTACAGCGCTGCATACAGTATCCCTTGTCTTTTTCAGAAACGCCAAGATAAATTAAATAATACCGGGGTACTGTGTAAAGAGGGTATACTATAAAGAGAGTATACTATAAAGAGAGTATATCGGGATTAAGTCTACTGTATTGTGGGTGACCTCTTCAGTTGGCACCTGGTGTGATAAATCAATATGTGTAACAAATAAGTACTCGCTATATAAAATTTATAGAAAATTCTTATTTGTCACACCAAATGAAAACGTATAAGTTGAGGATCATTGACTCGCCCACATGATTAATATCTGTGACATATTAAAATGAAATCGGATTAAAATGAAATATTGCACGTAAATATAGACAAGTCACTAAAAAATAAAAATGATTGAGGTGCATTTTTTAGGTTAGAGGTTAGTTTTAGGGTAGAGTTTATAATAAACAAGTATGGTTGGTTTGAGAGGGTTAAATAGAACCCTCATTTCATATTAATCCGATTTCATTATGATCCGCGAAAATATTTTTCATGTATCTTTGTAAGGATAATAAATATAAGAGAAAACAAAGGGAATTGACTATTTATTGTTGTGGATCAACACAGAAGCATTCAACTCTGTCGACACTAAATGTTGATCAAAGGTATACGTGCTATTTGCAGGCGAAAATAATTATTGAGTTTAGGATGCGGCGTTCCAAATGTATAAATAAGGGTAGTAGTTTGGCCTTACAAGCCAAATGAAGCCAGGGCTAAAGTTTAACATATTTACTAACAAATTTTGCAAATCTGGCGTCTTGAAGTCATTAAGCAAAATTTCATTCCTCTGCTCAATAATATCTTCATGTACCGGAGTATGCCTATCTTGCTTAGTCGAGTGACAAGATGCCTCATTGTGGCCTAATTTGGCAAACCTGCACACGCACACGTACATACTTACAACGCCATCAAGAAAAACTGATGAAATCAGCAATTAGATAATATCTAACAACAATATTAGAGCATGCCGTGTGAAAATTTTTACAGAAATATAAAATTCTTTAATATTTACTTACTATATGATCCGTCTGGGACCAGTGACAAACCACAAAAAATGGGAAATATTTTTGCCCTTTTGGAATCTGGGTTCCCTGAAGATAAGTTTATTTCTAGTAAAAATCGTAGAGAAGAGAATCCATAATGATGGTTAAAGCCCAGCGGATCATGAGATAAGAGTATTTTACTATAAATAAGTATACATATAGTTGTGAAACTAAAAAGATACATATTGTGATTCACCGGGCCAATTTTAACGTTTAACATTTAATAATAAAAATAAAAGAGACATTTACGTACTTAGTAGAAATCGACATGCTATTTAAGGAAGCTGCAGGTACCAAACCAAAAAAGGCCAAAAATATATAGTAAACATATTCCCACGATTTACTATGATCCCAGGCAGATCACGAATTAAATATAAGTAATTGTGCCCATATCGGCATATGCAAGCCAATATGTGCATAATTCCTTCGAACCCTGATCGTTCGATCCGTTAAAAAAAAAAAAAAATCTGTAACTTGGTTGATCTTATTCGAAATTATCGAGTTATGGATCTTTCTTTCATAATGAGATTTAAATTAGTAAAAATTTTGGTTATCACGCATGATATCCTTTTTTTTCTCACCCTGATAAGATTTTTTCTATTCGAGTTATATTGTAAAACGTTACATAGCCATTATTGACATTAGATATTATTTTATAAAGCTGAACGCGCTGCAATTGAACACACAAATATATAACTGTTCTTTAAATTTTTGGTTAATACGCGTTGAATAAAATTTATACACAGGTACCACTAAAAATGTCATCGAATAATCATTTCAATATTGAAAAAATAGAATCGTGCATTCTACAAAGTATTAAAGAAATAGACGCAAGAATTTCTCGACAAGAGAATGCAATTATAATTATTGGTGATACGAGGGAAGGAAAGACTACTTTATTCAATTATTTACCGTATAGTTCCGAAATTAAGCACCCTTTTTTTGTTACAAGAGGTACTTATTTTCGGATATAATTTTAAGAATAAATAATATAGAATTTTTGTACTAAGTAACTTGCCTTCTGTTTCTAAGTA